TACAACTTCGGCCACTTCGGCTCAAGGTTGACTCAGCCTTCCATCCTTTCTAATGTAGGTAAATTGAGGACCCAGTTTGTGGGGGCAATAAGCTGACTTTGTATAAATATACAAAAGTATGAAGGCTATTGCTTAACGCACTGTAAGCCGCCCTGAGTCTCCGGAGAAGGGCGGCATATAAATCAATTTTTTTAAAAAAAATGCTTTTAAAAGTTAAAAAAAAAGCCTCTGATGATCGCGTGGCTCGTCAAAGGCATTTAAAAGAAAAAAACCCTTGTTTTCTTTTAAATGCTCTGACGATCCAAGCTGAGTTCCCTGATCGGCAGGGGCTTTTTAAAAAAGCCTCTGCCGATCAGGGAACTCAGCTTGGATCCTCAGACCCTTTTGAAAACATTTTTTTACAACCTCTTAGCTGAAGAGGTTGTAGAAAAAAATGGTTTTAAAAGTAAAAAAAAAAATGGCCACGCCCACCCAGTCACATTAACCCCCCCCAAGCCACGCCCACAGAACCGGTAGTAACAAATTTTACATTTCACCCCTGCCCCAGCCTTGCCCCTCAGAATCCTTCCCATCCTATCCTCTTTCCCTCTTTCCCTCAGCCTTGCCCCACAGAAGCCATCCTATCCCCTTATGCCTCCTCTCCCCCGCCCCCGCATCTCTTCCTCCTCCTCATCTTCCTGCTTTTTTCTCCCTCCCTCCAGCCAAGGCCCTCCTTCCTTCTCTATTCTGTCTCCTCCCCTTCCTGCCAAACCCTCCTTTTATTCCCTTCTCCCTACACGCAGTATTATGCATAGTAGCATTTAGCTGCACTGGTCTTTATCTGGATTTAACTATATTTAAATCATTGTTCTAGTTTTAAAAGCCGTGATTGGGAGGTGACTGCCTTGAAAGACAGAACACACATTGTATTTCTTAAAGAAATGTAGATATTTACCCAGGCAAAGAGGCAGCATGAAACAATACAGGCATCACACACACATACACACATACACCCTGGTTGCCGTATGAAGCTGAAACTCTGATACTTCATTTCATTCTGTCTATGTGTAATATATTCTGAGCAATTGAGATGAATAAGGAGTGAAAGAATCAGCAAAACAAAAAACAAACAAACCACTTTTTGGAGCTGGTAGTGGATGCAGAGAGAAAACAAAGAGTCAATAGTTGTGACATTAGCATTCATGTGAAGGGTAATACTGGTATTTGGGGATAGTTTACAGCCCAATCCAATTTGCCTAAAACCAGGGCTATGTTTGCAAGAATCTAATTGGCAGTTTTGTCACTTTATCTACACATTGGGGAATGGCTTCAGCAACAGCCTCATATTTCACTGTGCCAACATTATTTTAAAAAGAAAAACGATGTCTGGATTGCGGCTGGTTACCTTAAAAATGCCCTTTCTGTAAGGTGAGCAGGAGTCTGGCAGGGAGAGAGTGACAATAGCAATGATGATGACATTGAGGATGATTGCAGAAACTAGGCCTTCATAGTTATCATTAAGAGGCTACGTCGGAGAGAAAAGCTATGACTTTCACACTATTATTAAAGTTACAATCCATCTACCTTGACTTCAAGCTCCCCAGATTCTTTGCAATATGATCCAATATGTATGGAATGATAGATAAACCTGTTATTTACAGTAACAAAAGATCGGATGAGACTGAACCCAGTCTCTAAAGTTTGGAGACAACGGTGATGTTAAATGTTTGGTGATATTAAAGTTCTTGAGGCTGATCATTACAATGTTCAAAACGAGTGGAGAGCAAGGGTATTCATTGCCTGTTTTTCCTCTGCTCAGGCCTAAAAGAAAATGGCACAAATAGCAACTTCACATAATTCATTTTTCATATTATTAATCAACAAATTGTTTTTTCAGCACCAGCAGTTACTATTATGTCCCCTTCTTCAACAGCCTTTTATTTTTGAATGGCCACTTTTGCATCAGCCCTAGAGACATTTGTTAAATCCATCTTTTCAAAAATTAATCCCTCAGGCCTTGAATGGCTTGCTCTGAGGCAACTGAATGAATGCAATCTAAACATCCCAAATTTGCCAGTTTAAAAGTAGGCTTTTCTCTCTTTTTTAAACTCTTGGTTCCCTTCTATCTCATTCTATTCTGGAATGTGTTGGAATTCTAATTACATTCTGTTTAATTCTGGTTTTGTTCTATGTAATTTCTCTTTTATTTGCTGTTGCAGCCTTCTCAGACTCTGAGAGTTTCGATTATTGTTTTGTGAGCTGCTTATGGATTTGGCAAGGATAATTTTAAAAAATGCAAACCATTCTGACCACAATTAATGGGCTGGGGGGAGTTTTGCATCACCCTTTAGGGCTAAATCTATTTGTGTATAATTAGATCCATGTAGTTGAAATAAGATTAGCATCATTGTGACCATAGAAGGCCGACCTAGATACTTTTATGGCATTAATGTCAAACAGATGAATGAGATCTACATCCAAACTTATGGAATCTAAGTCATTAATATATGTGCAAAATGGTTTCCCTTGACTCTTTAACGCTTCCCTATGCATTTTTGTCCATATTGCATGCTTACTGAATGTGAAAGCAGCAATGATTAGTTCCTCTCTGCCAGAGAAATAAGCTATTAGGTTATTACTTGTGGACTTAAATTTTGTCTGGAAAAATGTAGCATGCAGCAGCAATTTCAAATCTAGTGTAATTCCAAATAGTTTTAAAAATATATTAGAACATTGCCAGTATATTTCTTTACCATTTTTTTTTTGTATCGCTGGAACGAAGTATTATATGCATAATTAAAGTTAGTTTGACACTGCCTAAATGTTGGTCGGGCATATGAAATATATTTTATTTATTTATTTATTTATTGGTTCAATTTATATGCCGCCCTTCTCCGGAGACTCAGGGCGGCTTACAATGCGTTAAGCAATAGCCTTCATACTTTTGTATATACCTGCTTAGTAGGGCTTTCGGCCCCCCTTAAGTGGTGTTCTTTTTTATACAAAGTCAGTTTATTGCCCCCACAATCCGGGTCCTCATTTTACCTACCTCGAAAGGATGGAAGGCTGAGTCAACCTTGAGCCTGGTGAGATTGGTGTATGGGTGTTGAGAATGAACAACATATAAACATTTTTTGAAAATCAACTTTCTGAATTATTTAAAATCTTGAGCAAGTGACGTTTTTGCAAATTGTGTTATGTCCAGTGCCTATGCGCAACCTAATTAATCAAGCAGACAATTCTTTTGTAACCTTTCTGGCGGGAGACCAAAGGCTACTGAGATGCTATTTCTCAGGTAAAAAATCACGACAAAGTGGAGACTAACGTAGCCTCATACATCAGCCAGAGAAAGAAATTAGTGTGTATATTTCCTTTCTAACCTAAAGAACCCATGAAGTTTTAAATTAGTGCCTTGGGATATCCAAAGCAGAACAACTAGATTCTGTAATAGCTTTGTACCATATAGTATCAACCTTGTTAACTCTCAAGATTCTTTTTTCCACTAGGTATTCAAAATGGACTGTGATTAATATATAGATATATGTATATATGTGCGTGTGGGTATGTATATGTGTGTGTGTATATATATGTATGTATGTATGTATAAAATATATGTGCATGTGGGTATAGGTATTTTTTTTCCTTTTGAGAGTGGGCATCAGAATTTCATTTTAACGTGTGCCATTATGTACACAGAAAAGTGACAATAAAGATTCTTATCTTTTTTTCCCTCCCCCCCCAATTCATTTTTCTTTTGTGATTTGCCTTTTAGATTGTAATAGCAAGAAGAGGTGACTTTTTGGAGGAACACTGTAAAATGCTTTAAACATAATGTTCCCTTTCTGGCGTGATTTATTTATATTATTAAAGTTTTGGGGATTATAGAGTACTTTTATCTGTCCAGCCTGCTTGCTCTTTATGAGAGGTACATAGCTGATTCCCAATCAGGTTGGTAGATTTAAAGGAGTGATTCTTTTCTGCAGGAACCCTTCAATTATGAAATGGGCTTCCAACTCAAGTCCATCACATTCCATCATGATACCCCCAAAAAACATTTTTTTGATATGATCAGCTTTTCCTAAGAAATGTTTTTAATGTGGGCATCATAGCCGATTGTCAATACAGTACATATTACTTCAGTGCCATGTACGTAAATAATTTTCCTGTAAAGAATTTATTGTTGTCTCCCTCCCTGCTAAACTACGGCAGTATGGGTGCTTAAACCAATGTATGTGGTTAGCTTTCTGTAACTTCATCATTGGTATGTCCTCCTTACAGAACTGCCCCTACTGTTTTTACAGTGTTGGTTACTTTCCCACAACAGCTATGGTGGAAGTTAGAAAGTCTCTATTAGTGTGTGTCTCTCTCTGTGTGTGTATATGTCTCTGTATATGTTGTATAACAACTGAGCTTTAAGATCTAATGAGTAAAATGCTTGGCTAGTCAATAACCAAGACTGAAGCATGCATGCATGAATGAATGAACGAATGAATATATGTGTGGGTTTTTAAACAGGCACACCATCGTATGTAAATATTTTGCCACCATTATCTGTAGTAATTTGTCCAGTTCTTCTTGCTTTCAGTTGTCTTTATGACATAAGCAAACTTTCACACCACCTGGTAGCCTTGAATATCTTGCACCAGAATCCAAGCAGGATTAACATTGATTGGAATAAAGTGGGGCCCGTAAGATATATCCATCATTGTGGAAATCAAGAAAACTAAAATGGCTTTTTCAATTAGATTCCAGCAGATATTCTGTATGGGAAAATATAAAATATTTTTTTCTTCCAGAGATCACCCACCACAGGTACTGAACACAGAAAAATCAGGAGGAGATGTATAACAATAAATAAATGAATAATGTTTACTGTGTTTAAACTCTGGGTTTCTGCTTTATTGTTGTCCATGATTTTCCATTTGAGGATGATCAAAGTAAGTGAACCCACGAGACACTGCTGCCATTTTTGTAAGCAATAATAAACTGTGATTCCAAAAAAGCGCAGTCAGCTTCAGCAGTTGAAATACATTTGGTTTATTTCTTTTCTATTTTTTTTACATATACATATATCATATACATATGTGAAATCCTTCACTGGTTTGTTCATTGTCAGAAACATAAAAATCCATTCAGAAGACTTTAGGCTTTGTTGTGCCAAAACAACATTATGTCAACTTATTAAAAAGAAAGATAGTAATCATTATGAATATGAACACACACAAAAGGGGATGAGAAGAGAGTATAGTATCTCACAGCTTTTCTAGCAAATTGTCCGCAGACTGTAGAGGGTTAACTCTAGCAATGGTAAAACAGGAAAATGTATTTACTGTATGTACAGAAGAAAATAAAAACAAATGTAAACTTAATCTCAAAAATATTATTTCAATGATATATAAAAACAATATCCACATAAGTGAGAGTCCTTCTTCCATATAGTGGAGGAGCTCTCTAAGTGCCTTCATTTAATGTGAAAATTGCCTTTGCAGTACCTGAAAAAAAAGGGAATAGTGATTTCAAGGGAAATTCTGTGATACTGACAGGGCAGCCTATCCCAACCTGATGCCCTTCAGACTGGACTATGTATTTTCCTGTAGTCCAAAAACAGGAGTGTATTTACTGTATGAAAAGGTTTTTGGCTCCTTTGGCTAATTGTATGATGACAGGAGGTTTTGATTTGCCTCTTTATGTTCCCATGGGGAGTGATTAAGATTCTTAGGCCAGATCCTTCCTCTTCCCCCAGATGCTCATTTCTGGCTTTTGCTTGGCAGAACATAATCCACTCTGTATTTCAGAAAAGTCTGGTCAACAGTTCAATTGCCCAGTGGATAGTTGGGGAATATCAACATTTACGGGAAGAGTAGCCTATAGGTCAGCTGATGGAGACTTGGGTAATTCATTTTTGAGTTTTGGTTTGCTAAAGGCTCCACTTGAGGGAAAGGAATCAAAATAAGCATAAATTACAATCTGAGGGCAATTGTTGCTTGGGTTTTACATAGGGACATAGAGAGGCAATTACTCTTGGAAAGAATTTAAAGGTAGGTTTTGAGCAAGGAATTTCAATCAATATTTTGTTACCCCCCTCTTATAACTGTCTTGAATTATATCTCTGCTCAACTTCCATTTCCCAGAAATATCACATTATATAAACTTGTACCAATGCAGTAAGGACAAATCATTTTGATGGCAGTTTACTGCGTATGGAATTGTTAAAGGCTTCAGCTTCAAGTATGGTATACCAATTGTTACTAACAGTGAGAGGAATGGAAACTCAGGTATTCAAATCACAGACAGGGGGATCAAATGGCTGCCCAGAATCCTTCTTCACACTTGCCACAATGAACTTTTTTTCTTTTTTCTTTTTACTAAGTGTTGCTTTTTAACCACATGATGCAAAGAGGCCAAGTTTGAAGAACTCTGATTTAGGACCACCCATCTCATCCCTTCTTTTATAAGATATGCCCTATCTTCCTTGTTTGAGCATCAAAAAGGCCCTGGAGGTAAGCAACTCCTCTCCCTTTTTTTAATGTACCATCTCTCAATGTGGGAAATATTGAAGTGGTATCTCTTCCATTTTAATTCTATTGAACAGGTCTCGGAAAAATCAGCATTATAAAAACAGAGGATATTTTCCTTGCACTTAAAATCTTGACCAATCTTCCAGGCCAAAATGAGGTAAAATAAAATGAGATACCTTTTCTGAGATTCTGTTCTATAGTGAAGCTTTCACAAGACTTGGTCTTTCAAGAAATAGAGCAAACTTGCATCTGGCCTAGTACAGACTTGTTCTTTAATTCCAGTGGAAAAATAAAGTGCCACAGAGGTAAAGAAGCAAAAATACAGCGCACATTCCCTGCTAATTCTCTTTTACACTTTTCAGGGAAATGGGGTAAACTAGAGCACTTCTACATTGGCCTGATGGATTTATATGTTCTACCTCTGCTAGCATGTTCTATTTCTACTGGTTTGTTACCAAGTAAAGCTTCTTCTTTAAGCTCTTAAGAAGAACAAATATCATATACACACAATCAGATTTTACAGAGAACTGTACCATAGGTGATTATGTAAATAATCATAGACAAATGGTGCAGAGACCACCTACAGGCAAATCTTATTTGTTAAAAATGACAGATATAAACTGAGCCTCAGAGCTGCTGCAAATGTCAGCCATGCTACTTCTTCAAGTGATACAAATGATGGAAAACAAATATGCAAGATTCTTAAACTCTGCACAAGACGTGGAGTGGAAAAGATAAAAACTCTGCTGAACAAAGATGGCTACCATATTTTCAGTCACTTAAAGGCAAAAAGATAAACTAAGCACAGCAAAACTTTAAATATAAGCCACAACTATTACTGAGGCCAGCTCATCTGGAACCAGTGGAAGAAGCCACATTATCTCTTCGGTATCTCCTCATCAGAAAACAATCAAGTATCAGTTTCATCTTTACTAAGATTGAAACAAATTAGTTTTTATCCATATTATACCTCTGCAGTAATAACAAATAATCTGTTGAGACACATAGATATGCTAATTACATTCAAATATACTTGGTGAGTTTTACTTCTAATTTAATTTTAGGTGAGGCTTCTCAACTAATCCCAATTTTTGATCTGGCATTATTCAGGTTTCTGGGATTGCCATTCCTATCATCCCCAACCAATGTGGGTGAATGTCTTGCTGGTTTGGAGATAACAGGAATTGTTATTTAAAGAAAATGTTGCATTGCTGTATCTATACAAGCCAGAGTTGAGCAAGAAGTTTTCAATGGATTCAGAAATAGTTTGGGCTCAGTAAATTAATGTTGTAAATCTCTGCCAAGGTCTGAACTAGAAAATTCCCTCACGTAGTCGCAATATGTTTTCCAAATGCGCTCCCTCACTTTTCAAGATATTCTTTTCTTCCCAAGCTTTGTAATCTGAAAACCTTTTAGCTGGAAGATACTGAGAACTGAATATAATCCACCTTACATGCAAGACATATAGCTTATCACTCAGCTCTAGGTAGTCTACATGGTAGACTTGATCAAAACTGTCTAGTTGAATAGCAGACCAATCTCCTAACAAGCCTTTTCCGACTTTCCTAGGAAGAGCCTATTGGGGAACCAATAATTTCTTGATTTCAGAAATCATGATTGCCCATGATAAATCCACACAGTTAATTTTAAATATGGGTAATAAGGAAAAACAATAGTCTCTAATAAATTAACAGTTCAAACTTCCTAAGCTTATAAATACAATTTTCAGAAATTCCAATCAGCTCAGCCAAACCTGTAATATTTTCAATCACAACAACTGCATAGCACATAACAGAAATTCACTTAAAATGGATTATGTGCATTACTAGTGCAAGATGAACTTTAATTTCAATATTGCCAAATCATTCAATTTCTCTCATTATAGGCTAATAGATATAAGCAGCATGATCTCCACCCTGCTGCTAAAAAAAAAATACACTTCTGTAATTTTGAAAAGTCAGTGGCCAATGTCAAAATTATTTTTCCATTTTTTTTTTCAATTGGGAAAAAATAAAAATTAACTGTTTGTGTCATATTCTTAGCCTAATTTGCTTGGCGATATCTCCAAAAGATTTCCCCTCCCTAAATGGTCTCTCTCATTGCATACAGATAATTTTATTCTGTTCACCTTAATGCAAACTCAAAATGAAAAGCAGAATTAAAACTATAACAATTCTTAACGGTCAAACATACCCAGGACAGTCAAAATACTTAAAATATTTTTCTAGCAATCCTCACAACACTTTGAACATATAATATATGCAGATGGAGATCTAAGAATGAAAGATGAGGCTTGATTACAAACAAAGATTCACAACATAGTTAAAAGTTGCCACTGTATCTGTTAATTTCTTTAAATTCCAGTACAGTGCTGTTAAAGTTATACTTTAAAAGTTTGGATATGCTGAGATAAAGCAACCTTTTAAACAGAATTTAAACTAAAGTGCTGATTTTTCAGACTTCTCAGTCTGTTACAGAGTGTGAATGCATTGCAGCTTTGCAGATAATAGAACTGGGAACGTAATGTACAGCTGAAAATTAAATGGAATTAATGTACCATCCAGAGATTCGCTTTGAAGATAACTTCTAATCTGGCTCAAAACAGGTCCCAAATAATAAACATGGCAAGATACCGCTGCATAAGAAAAATAACAGGCAAGAGCAACCAATTGGGGGCAATCTGTTAAAATAAGAGCTTACTTGTTTTTTTCCTTCAAAATGCATTCCACTCGGTGAAATAGGATCGTTTTGAAAATCTCAGCCTCGCTGAATTTAATTTAGGGATGCACCCATCCAAGACTTTAAAAAGTTACAATAATAACTGTATAGGCTGGTTATCAACCACTGAAGAGTTCAGCTTTGAAGTTTGTAACCAGGAAAGGAAATCAGCTATGCCTGTTGGTTCTAGAGGCCACAGTGCTGCACTGTCTTATGGAATGCAGTTGTTGAAGTGACAACAGTGTTGGTGGTCAAAACCGAAGAGCAAGACTTAGAAATAAAGTCATTGTACAACTGGGAAGGACACAGTGGGAGACCGAGGGGGGCAACGTTCTTCTGGAAAGCTGTTCTCGCTGCTTCCAGACACAGCAATAGTTTAAATATCAAGGGATTTAGCCTACAAGCCTATTCCTGTGGGTGTTGTAATTGCTGATATGAGCTGCAGGATTTCACGAGCAATTTTTAGATCATGTACAATTATTCTTACTTATCCACCCAAGTTTCAAAACCCCTGGGACTGAAAAAGTGATTCCTAGGGATGTTTTTTTTTAAAAAAAGCCATAAGGTTGTAGGAGATCTGGCTATTTTGCCATGAGCTTCAATGGCAGTGAAATAACATTAGGGAAACCTTTGACATATAAAAACATAACCAGAGACCAGTGAATATACTTCTATAGGAGCTTCTTGCCATAGACCCTGACAACCATGGCACGACCGTAAGGATTGTGTACACACATTTGAATGCCAATGTGCCAATTCTTACAGAAAACAATGCTTGCACACAGCAAAACAGAAGTATAGCACAAAGTTAATGTAAGTACCTAGTCCCAATCCAATGCCAGCCAAAACCTTTTAATTGCAAAAGACCTAAGTGTAATTGTACCTATCAGTATACATATTTCACAAAAGCATAGGCAACTATTTTGATGCATGCTCTTGTCTAGATGTGTATATCCACATCAGCAATGCACCCATATCTCCCATGCAAGGTAAGTGTAACTACACCTTAATTTTCAAGTGAGCAGACAAAAAAATAGCTTATATATAAAAGCTGATTCATAACGTGGTTATATAGGAGAAGCTTAATCATGAATAGCTGCAGTCAACACTTCAACAAAAAGGCAGCTTCATGTTTACCCCTGGTAGGTTCACAAGTGCAATCTCTGGTGTTCTGCTGTACTAGTAAATGTGAAGTAAAAGCAGAATTATTCCTCTGAGAAAAATACTGAGCTACCTACTAAGATTGTAATGAAGCCAAAGCCTGTTTGATCACTTATTTCAGGGATGCAACCGAGGAGCTGACTGCAGTCTTGGTAATTTACAATACACCCTCTGCCTGCCACCACCATAGGCACCTTGGAAGTAATATATAATTTGAATTCCCCTCTGCTTCTGAAAAGAAATAGACACAAATACATTCATGAATTGCAACATTTCAATTATTGGCTGCACTGCTGTTTCCCCAAGGCAACAGTCATCAAGGTGCACATTGAGAACAAGAGTGCATATAAAGCCCATTCCAGCTTTTAATTGTGTGGCTTGAATAGCCATCTTGGGGTTTGTTTCAGCCTTCTGGAAGCATCACAAAAGAATCCAGGGGGGAAAAAAACCACCAGAAAGCTTCCAACTGTTATCAAACCTCTTTCAAGAACCATACTTTTAATATTATGCCTAAGGGCTTGACTAGAGATTGATTCTTAGAAAGTGAAAGGAGGACAGGGAAAGTGAAAATGGAAACATGACACAGACAGTTAATTCTGACATGTCATTGTGTGCATTATGGAAAAAATTGCAGTCTCTCTTCCTTTGAGCACAGAGACCCAGCTAGGTGGCGGTTTCTTCTTTCTGTACTTCTAGGGCTCTTATCCTAAATCATGCTTACTTTCCAACCGATTCAGTAATCTCTGGACCAAATCCAGACTACGAAGCAACCTACAGTTTCACACAAATGGAAAAGTACCTAGTATTCTAAGGGGAGAGGAGAGGTTTTGCAGTTGGAGGGAATGCAGTTCTGTATTTATTTATTTATTTATTTATTTGCTAGCTTTATATCCTGCTTTTCCCTCCAGGAGCTCAAGGGAAGAAAATTAATATCCTCTCCAATCTTTGTATGCAATCTTGACCAAACTTGTACTAGGTCATCAGAAAGTCCATGTAACTTATTGGCACTGACTCTACTAGATGAGCGGAATATATATATAGGCTGTTCCCTGGCTGCCACATGGGTTACTCCAAAATCTTACAGAGCTTGTTGATCTGCAAGAGAAAGAAAGAGCAGTCACTGTTTCCCCATTGATCATTTTTCCAAAGTGTGTCTTTATGAATGAGAAGAAATATTGAATGAGTCACTATGTAGATGGGTTCACACATTGTTTTATGCCAGGGTGCATTTCATTTGACTTTGGCTCAGTATACTGGCGAATCTAGCTATTGTGGTCTGAACAACGAAATTTGGTTAAAACAAAGTACACCTTAGCGCAACGGAGTGAATCCAACTACAAATTCTGCATTTTAATGGAAGGAGTACATCACATACACCTGATAATTCCTACCATGCTGTAGTCATTCCAAAATGCAAATCTAAAAACCCTGCTATCCTAGAGTTTGCAAACACCATCAGTAACACTCAACAAATAGATGTGGAGGCTAACGGTCAACCAACCTGGAAGGCTCTTGAATAATTCAGTTTAGTCTACTTTAGCTATGGAAATGCCATATACAACCTTAATATAGTATCACTGTCTCATCCATGTGTAGAGAAAAAAAAAGTGATTTCTCTGTTTCAAGGGATGAGTTTAACATTTCTCATATGTATCTCTCTCCAGTCTTACCAAGGTCTTCTTCCCAAATATTTTTTACAGCCTCTTCATTTTTTCCCCTGTACTCCATTAGTACAAAGCATACATTGAACTAACACAACCCCCCCTCCCACTTTTTTAAAAGATGCAAATCGGTACCATCATTTTACTGCAACCTTTTTTTGTTTCAACAAGGCTGAGAGTTTGCTGGCTTTTCTGAACTCTTGTTGAAACCATGTACCACTCTTTGTGAGTCTTTCTATTTCGGCAGGCATTAGCAACTTATCCAGTACCCTAAATACCAATTTAGTATTCATGACATACAATGATAACTCATGACTGAAAAATGAAGGAAATTTTCTTATGAAGGTACAGGTGGTAAGAGTCCTATCTTAATGAACTTCTGATATGTAACTTATTTTTATATACAAAGATATGTAACTGCAGGTGTAGCAGGTCTAATAGTGATTGATGCTGGGAACTGTAATATTTGTGGCATCTAAACAGCCGCAAGTTCCCAGTGCTGAAATAGAACAATACCTTAATTGCACTTATAAAGAATGTCCTGACTACTGACAGCTTTTATTTAGTATTCTAAATTTAGGAGCCTAATTCAGTGGTTTCACATGTGTCACCCTGTCGTTTTCTTATCTCCCAACTTGACAGAGCCTAGGGGATGGGACTTTTTTACACAATTTATCCTCTTCAAAAAAAAAAAAAAAAAGTGGGCATAGAAATGTACAAACCCCGCTTAGAAAATAATGCCCCTCTAGAACATGTGTTCTTATCTTCGAGCTGCCATTTCTGGGTTTAACGAGGTGCCCTTCAACAATTTTCAAAACTTCTTATTCCCCAGAAAACCTTTTTCCAAGGCTCCTGATTATAACTTAAACCTCCATTGTTCTGGTTATTTCTTTTCTCTTTGGTTTGCATTGCAGGATGTTTTTCATCCCCAGGAAAGAGACAGATGTAATGCCCTCCTCTGCAACGGAAATGAGACCACTCTAGGAACTGTAATAATGAGAGAGTTCTTGGGTCATTTTCTTTTTTAAAATCAGGAAATACAGTATGGATATGGGGATAGACAGACATCTCTGCCAGGCAATTCTATAGCATAGGGGACCTGTTGGTTAGCAAATGAGCCTGGAATGATACCAGATTTTGATCAACTAGTTTATAAAGTGCCTGAAAATATTTAAACATCTGAAGGAGGATCATAATGCCAATTGAACAAAAACATTACACACTACTGCTATCAGTACAACGAATATATGATTATTTGCTATTGAGAATCATTAGGGTAGATAAAGTTTCCACCCAGGAACATGAAAAAAATAAGACCTGTTTCAGTTGAAATAATTTCTATTCACTGAAGGTCTTCATCTGTTTCTATATCCAAAATATTAACTTGGTAACTTGTAAAGTTTGAACTCAGAGATCACAATGACTGATCACTCAATAATCTAGTTACTGGCGTATCTTCCACAATGCGTTGTTACTGAGCTTGGCAACACTTGAACATTTTTTACCCAGTCTCTTTTACATCTTAGCTTATCCGATGATAAGGCTTAACAAGTTGATAAGCCTCCATTTGTCTCGTCATTCCCCCACGGCTGAACAGCAGCAGCAGTTCAGATGAAAATTACAAGCCAACAAAAGAAGACCAACATATGACAGAGAGATAAATATACCATGAAATCTCTCTTGTCACATTCCAATTTTTTCCCCCACTTCTTTTCTTATTTTTTTTTTTAAAGGAGGACTGGATCAATTGCTCTATGATAACTTAACTAGGCAAATGCAAGTTAGAAGCCAAAACATTTCCAACAACCTGTACAGAAACAACAAAATTTACAACTGAAAAATGTCACTAACACCCATTCAGGCAGATGTGTTAATTTTTGTTTGTTTCGCAAAGGACAGGTTATCAAAGAGAGAGTGGCGCGTGATCCTCCAGCCTGCCTTAGTTTCCTTAAGTAACCTTCTGCTTAATGCTGGGAGTTTCTGGTCGATAGTCCTTCCTCTCAGAGACGTTGCGCTTCACCTTGGCACTAACAGGAGACTCCTGATTTAATGAAGGGCTGGAGTGGCATTTCTTCAGTCCAGGACCATCAATCTCACTGGTACTCAGCAACTCCTTTCCTGCTCCATCTTTGAGAAGAGACACATAGATTTCATAACGGGTTTTCTGGAAAAAAAAAGAAAGAAAAGACTCCGTCTACAGTGTCACTTCACCGATGTGTGTGGAAATCAGTCACAGCAAATTGGACGCATAGCAAGTAAATTGGACCAGCAATGCAATATTAGCCAGTGGGTGACAAGGGCATCCAGAAGTAATACTGAAATGTCTTGTAAACTGAAAACTGAAGGACATGTCTTGGTTCTCTTTCTCAGAAGAAGCATTTGAACTTTGAATGTTGTATTTTGAAAAGACATGCAAAGAATCTTGTCCAAAGTAATGGATTTCAGAGTGTGCAACAAATCGTGGTACAGTGGTTAGAATGCAGAATTGCAGGCTAATTCAGCTGACTGCTGACTGCCAGCAATTTGGCAGTTCGATTCACACTGGTTCAAGGTTGACTCAGCCTTCCATCCTTCTGAGATGGGTAAAATGAGGACGCAGATTGTTGGGGGCAATATGCTGATTCTGTGAACTGCTTAGAGAGGGTTGTAAAGCATTATGAAGCGATATATAAGTCTAAGTGCTATTGCTATCTTCAGTCTACTCACAAGACTTAGGCAGGCTAAAGGCACTTAAGAAGGATCCTTATTGTTGCCTCACCTTGTCCTTTCCTACACTTCCCCCTTTATCCCAACTTGATTTTGGGGGGGGGGGAAATGCTTTCTTAAAACAATAGAATACCTCTCATTTTATGCCCAGCTGATCAGTATGTAAAGTAGAAAATTTACTTTAGAAAATTTAGTAGAAAATTTGTATGGCAAATGGATATACATTTACATATAAAATAAAGAACTTTAATTGTGGTGCCTACTAGCTTCTCATCTTTCCATGATTATGAATATAATGGTTCAGTATTATGATGTCAAAATGATCATTATAGAATTGAACTTAAGTTTTTCTCTATGCCATGTGTTCCAATATGGTATGGATTTCTAATTATTTGTAAAAGATACTGTTGCTGGTCTTTGGCTAGGCAGACCGTTGCATTTTAATGTATCATTTCACTGCCACAAATTTCTGAGCCCACCAGGCACCAAATACAAAGTGTAAAGGAAGATTTAACATATTTTTGAAAATGCCAACTGCTGAATTTGTTCACTCTCTAGAAAACCACAACTCCTCTGTATGAGGCAGTTTCATCTGCAGCATCACTCAGTGGTGCTGTGATTAACTCAAATACACTAACGGCGATTAACCAGAATTCAGAAAAAGGTTTTTAAGAGGTGCAAAATGCAGTTTCTAGAATTCCAAGGAATATTTATTTAATGACATGCATTATGACCCTTCCCAATGAATCGTGACAAATGTTGATGAAGTTCTACCAAATGCCATACATTCTTTAAAGGAAAATCTATTGTCAAAATTGTGTTCTCCAACCAAGTACAAAAAGTGCTTTCTCTTATTTCAAAACATGACTCAGCCAAGCACTGCTATACAAATGCAGGAAGATTTCAAGGTCTCTTTAAAAGAACACAACAGAGAAAGCAATGGTTGTGGATTGGAAGAGACGGATTATTAAAAAAAAAAAATCAATTTGACAGTTAAATGAAATAATCACGTACTTAGTATTTATACTTCCAGCAATGGTGAAAAGACAAATAATTATATAAGCATGTCACTCAACAATACCGAACTAGTGAGATGAATGCTGATAGCATTTTTAACTGATTATGCTTCATCAGATAATGAATATGCTAGAGAACTGAACAGAGAAGAAATGGTGCCAGGAATGCTGATTGTTGTATAGCAACTATTCTTCAGCCCTGGACTTTTTCTGCCTCTATTCCCAATTTATAATATAACGATTTTTAAATTGAGAATCTTTGGAAACAAGACTTAGAAAGTCAGTAACAGATCCCACCCTCTGGAATATCTTCTCTCCTGAGGTCAGGGTAGCTCTGCCAGTTGGCTTGAGGACCCAATGGGAGAGCTTCATATTGGAAGTGGTTGACTAATTAAAATTCAACCCCACCTCCCCCACCACCACCACCCCACCCCCATGGGTCCAATTCCCTTCTTTTCCATCTTTTGTTTATGGATTTTTTTAATCTGTTAATGTTTTTATCTGCTGTGTTTCAGTATGATGGATTGATTTTAATGTTTTTCAATTTTTTTATGTTGTACGTCACCAAAAGTCTTTGGATACAAGATGGGTGTCAAATAATTTTAAACAAACAAACAAACAAACAAACAAACAAACAAACAGCAGTTTTCTTTAAAAAATGCTATATTGGCCATGTTTGGCAGGTGATATTCTAATGAATTTATATTTTTTTAATCTATTAGATTTATATAACAATAGCACTTAGCCTTATATACCATTCCATAGTGCTTTAAAGCATTCTCTAAGTGGTTTACAGAGTCAGCATATTGCCCCCAACAATCTGGGTCCTTTTTTTACTGAGCTCGGAAGGAATGGAGGCTAAGTCAGGATTGAACTCTAGGATGTGGGCAGAGTTTGCCTGTAATATTGCATTCTAACTCTGCCATTTCTCTAAGAGCTTAAGGCAGTTTACATGGGGATCTCCCTTCATTTTATCCCCACATTAACTCTATGAGGAAGATTGACCTAAAAGTGTGACTGACCAGAGACAAATTCAGGGTATTAATTGCTATACATCCTCTGCAGTTCAGACAGTATTACCAACAAACCAAACTATTATATTCCAAAATTCATGACAACAGAATTCATCAGCAGGCTAATCCATATATAAATGGTTTGTTGGGAACTAAAGCATTGAAAACAATTGCTCTAGAAAAGTATGGAATAGCGCTGCCCATAATCAACTCCAGAACTTAAACTGTAGTTGTCAGGCTTGTTGGACCTCTCACTGCCATCCAGACATGGGATCCACTACTGTTGTTCCATCTCTAGTGGCATACAGGTAGTTCCTGGTAATTTAAATGAATAAGAAAAGAAGCTACCTGCACAGGTTAACCCTATAAAGAATGGGGGAAATTCCAGTATCAAATGAAGACAGAGAAGCAGAACTAAAAAAGTAACAACATGAAAACATCACCCTCTTCCTAAATTATTACAGACTGATTCTTCAAAAACTAAGAGCCTAGCTCAAAACAAAGCAAATACACATCTGGTTCATCATCCTACATTTATGCTTTACTAAACAACCTGTGCTCTGTTGGGTTATCATTACAGAGATATTTGCTTATCTTAAAAAAAAAAAAACCAGAATGATCACCGGTGGGCAAAAAAATCAGTGGGAATGGGAGCAATTTTTAACTTAACCTGCTGGTTTCTTCACTAACTTTCTTTGTAGGAAGCTGGCTTGGACCACTGGAAATGACAATCACATAACCAAGGCTGACCGCAGATGCTCAGCAGCAATGAAGCAACCACAACTTTGCCAAATTTTAACCTCAGGTCCTAGATTTTGGTTGCATTCTCTAAGTTAATCCATTAAGGTCAATTGATTTTAAAATGTTGTCCTGTGATCCACTGGTTTTCCCAACTGAAGGTTACAAACAATGGAACAGACATGAGAGTCTAAATAATACATAAACATCAACAGGATAATTCTCTCCCACTTAGACCTTTTTGATTAAAACATGTAGCAATATTCCCTCCATTTTAATTATAGAATTAAAAACTTTAAGCAGATATAAACTCTCACTACTCACTTGCTGAAGTGCTACGATCTCTACAATGACTACCTTTAAAATAGGGCCCAGTCCAGGGGTGAAATCCAGCAGGTTCTGACAGGTTCTGGAGAACCAGTAGCAGAAATTTTGAGTAGTTCGGAGAACTGGCAAATACCTCTAGCTGGCCCAAGAGTGGGGTGGGAATGGAGATTTTGCAATATCCTTCCCCCAGGAATGGGGAGAGAATGGGGATTTTGCAGTATCCTTCCCGTGGAGTGAGGTGGGAATGGAGATTTTACAGTATCCTTCCCCTGCCATGCCCACCAAGCCTCACCACGCCCACCAAACCACGCCCACAGAACCAGTAGTAAAAAAATTTGGATTTCACCACTGACCCAGTCTTAGTTGTCCAGAACCTACCTCAAACTCCAAATAATGGTCTTTCAACTTGTAGTCTTCAATCTCCTTGCCCTTAAGTTTCTTATCCGGTGGGTAGGAACGATGTTCGGCTAGTTCAGTAGAGACCTGCTTCAGTTTGTTCTCGTGGGATTTTAGCTGGTCATCCTGCAGAGGTAATTACATGGTTTAGAATGCACCTCTAGTGCATTTAATAAAATGATTTAAAAATTCATTTCTATTGCTTTTAGGAGTGTTCAGTTCCTAAATCTGAAACTCAACTATTCCTGGTTCCTAAACCAGCAATTCAAATATTATATGGATTTTATTTAAATTAACAAGAATTTTCTAAACAAAATTGGGAAAGATCCATCCGTCATATGACCTAGATCTGTACAGGTAGCCTTCAATTTACAACTAGTTGCTTAGTGACTGTTCATATTTACCTCCCTTGGTGGTACTTGCACTACCTAGATCCAAAGTTTGAACAGTTCCCCCCTCCTGAGTGATTGCATGACTGCACTTTGGACACTCAGCATTCAGGTTGCATTTATGGCCATTTACAGTGTCCCACAGTCATATAATCATGTTTTATGATGGTTTTCAATAAAGTTAGACCATAGCAAAGGTTACCTTAATGACCACGGAGTTTAACAAACCCCACAAAAAGATTATAAAATCAGGTCAGTCACGTGAATGACCTGAATTATGACCATCACAAGTTGCGACCAGTATGGACAGCCTCCATAATAGTCGTAACTCAAGGACTACCTAAGTTGTAGTCATATCATGGGTTCCAAAGAAGAGTTCACTCTATTGGCTGGTGCTATTATTTTCTCATTTCCCATTCAGCCTAGAAAGAACAGCTATGTACACTGCTGATTTGGAAATCACGTAGCCAGCTTCCACACTACCTTTGGTGTTAGGACTAATGAATCAAGTGCCCATATGTGTACAATTATTTGAGAATGATTGCAAGGGAGAATAATACTGGAAACCCTGTTTGTGCAAGCTGTAAGGAGAGGGGGAAACAAACAAAACCCAAATCACCTGAGATAATTTGGTGGTGGAGGCAGGTAAGAGAGGGCGGCTGAATTTCTTCTGGGATCCAATTGCAGCTGGAAACGGTGGGGCAGAAAAAACGGCTGCCACAGAATTGATCTTATTGATCCAGGACTCCATTTCTTCAGGGCTCCTGTGGAATAGAAACAGATTAATCAGTGACTCTGGATGGCCTCAGGCATAACACTTGCACATTCTTTTCAATATTTGCACTGACATAATAAGAACGGCTAGTTTAGGTCACTCTTATACTGTACATTCTTGCATCAGAATAAGTTTCTCTTGTGACAATGCAGGATTTTTTCCTGAGGGTAAGCCACATTTAGGAAAATTCCATTCATCTGTGTTTCATCCACATATTTTTCTTGTTTCTTTCCATCTTTTGTTCAACAATCTTTTTTGCTTGCATCATACATATAATCTTTCTTTAGCAGCCATAACTGGGACCAGCAACTTGATTGTTGAGCAAAGCAGTTGCGAAGAGAAACATCACAATTTTCTGACCTTACTTCAGCTTTCCTTTGCCTTACACACCTGCAAAGGTCATGGATGTGAGAACTGGCTGTTGAGTTACTTTTTTGTCACCGCTGCAACTGCACATGGTCACTAAACAAGGCAGTTGCTGAATGCAGACCACTTGTAACGACTGCTTTCCTGTTAAGCTTCAGAAGACAGTAACAACCTTAAGACTGAGTCAAGCAAGGTGTCTGCAGGGTATGGTTAAAAGAACATCAAGATGGTGGCCATCAAGGGCTGATCAAAACTCTGCCTGTTTTTCATGTACTCAGGCAGAATTTTGATCACACCATCACAGCTGCCAATTTGACCTTTTTTTTTTATCATACACTGCAGACACTCTGAAGTATGGTGAGGGACCATGGCAAGCAGAATCTTTTCTGGAGTCATTCCTACAGTTCATTGAATGCCTCATGTCTCCAAACCTAGGTGTCTGATAGGGTAGGGTAGGATAGAATTAGAATTGAGTAGAGTAGAGTAGAGTAGAGTAGAGTAGAGTAGAGTAGAGTAGAGTAGAATAGAATAGAATAGAATAGAATAGAATAGAATAGAATAGAATAGAATAGAATAGAATAGGAATTGAATTCTTTATTGGCCAAATGTGATTGGACACACAAGGAACTTAATTAATGACTTCAAAGTCCATTTATGAGGGGTCCTTAGTCCTCCCTGAGCTTGGGTGTTTTCTTGCAGACATTACATGACCCAAATTAGGCAACATTATCGGTGCACAGTTTGAGTAATGAAAAATCTGCAAGAAAACAACCAAGCTCAGGGAGCACCAAGGACCCCTCATTTCAACCCTGAACTACAAATATTCTCTAAAGTCCACTTAAGAGATCTAGGGACATTGCCACTCCCTTTCTTCTTTCCAACTAGAAGTAACCATTACAACAGTTTGAATTTTATAATTAACCCCTAACCCCAAATTTAATTTTAACCTTGTTATTTACATTTCTACTTTCTTCGCTAGTAAGGTGGATAAGGGTCTAGATCAGCCTTCCCCAAATGTTTTGATGCATTTCAGTGATCTGCAAAATACACCCCAATAGCTTCTAAACTCTGGCTCTACACAACAGAAAAAATATCTGCATTGCAGCAGTTACAAAAGTCACGTGCATGTCTCTTTTGTAGCTTTTTTCCTCTAAAGTTTAAATGACTAAAAGGATTCGTTTTTTTAAAGATATTACCTTGAGCAGCATGTCCTGACCTTAACTTTGATTGTTAAGGTAAGCTTAAAAGATGCATGTTATATATTACCATGTATGCTAAGGTGTGCTTTTTCTTCCTCACCCCTGTATACATTATAGCAGACCTGCAGTACAGATTTAAGGCCAAGACAGCATTCCAACTACTGAATAATTCTCCTACTTGGGTTGCCTGATTTGGAATGGCACAACTTGCTGCAGCCAACTTGCCATGGCCAACTTGCTGTGGGACAACACGCCACAGGACAATTTAACAATTCAATTCAATTATTTAAAATTATTTAAAATAAATTTAAAATTATTTTAATTTTCGTCATTCACATTTCATTCTGTTCCTCCTTTTTCATCCTTCCTTTAATGATTCTATTCCACTGTTTGTTTGATATTAGTGTTAACTCTTGTCCCACAGTGAATTGTCTTGTGGCGAGTTGACTAGCTAAATTGGCCATGGTGAGTTGGCCGTGGCGAGTTGGCAAGCCGAATTGGCACAGACCACCTGATTGAGCTGCACACCGTTCTATAGGCGAAGGATAGACCACTAATAGTTTCAGTATTTACTTATGGAGCCTGCAATCCTTTTGTTATGATTTATACTCAGAACTGGAAAATATAGTTTGAAAAAAAGGAGAAGGGAAAAACAAACTTGAAACAAGGCTTTGGAGAGGCGCCCAATGTTCCTAAGATTATTATTTTTTTCATGAACCACGCCACGCAAGCAACCAAACTGGAACCTACTGAGCTTGAAAAAGCAACACTCTCCAGTCAGCTGTCTTCAGTTTCAGGACATTTGGCTTCTTCTCGTAGTCGGTTGCCTTTGATGCTAGCGCATGGTGCACGCTGACGGCATTCTTAAGGTCGTCCTCTGATAAAGCCTTCTCTGGTTTGTATTCGTCCTGCAAAAATTAAAAAGGCGATTTTTGTGTGTGTGTTTTTTTTTTAATCCCTGGCTGCAATAAAACAGCAGGCAAGAAATCAAACTGCTTTGTAAACAACCACCAGAAGTGACAAAGGCAAGAGCATGTTGTTACAATCTTATACATGTTTACTGCAAATGAGGGATAGGTGAGAAAGTAACTTATCTTGCTTATCTTACAATATGAAATTACCCCATTCACTCTTACTAAACATATCCAAAGTGGAAAGCCTAATATACCCACAGGAGTGCAGAGAAGAATACATTCAGCAGAGAAAAAAATGATTCAAAAGATTAGTACATCTAAGTGATAGATATGTGAACAAAGGTTTACTCTTTCCTTTAAATTACAAATTAATATGGAAATCTGTTGAGAGAAGTTTCATGCATGCTATTTTTATTAGATTTATATCCTTCCTTTTGAATAGGAAATTAAGATAGCATATATAGTGCTTCTTCCTATTTGTCCCTGCAACAGCAACCTTGTGAGGTAGGTTGGGTTGATCAAAAGCAACTGGCAGAGTCACTCAATGAGTTTCAATGGTTGAGGGTGGATTTAAAACTCAGATTTCTCCACTCCTCCTCCATTGCCTTAACCACCCCACCTCATTGGTTCCAATAAATGTACAAATTGGAAATAAATATATATATAATGGGTCTCTTTACTGGAGTCTCAGTTTGGCACGTAGTGAACAATACAAGTAAGGGTTTCTAGCCAGCATTACTGGCTTCTGCTAGCCAGATGGCTATATGGACTCATCATGTCCCGTCTTCCTGTTCCCGGTTGCTCCGGGCTGGCTCCAGCAAGCACTCTTTGGGCCCGGCTCCAGCAAGTACTCTTCGAGCCTGGTTGCTCCCTGGCTGGCTCCAGCAAGTACTCTTCTGGCCTGGATGGCTGTTGTGGCCCGCCGGCAGCCAGCAGAGCTGGCAGCAGATTTGGACAGTGAGGAGGTTGGGGAGGAATGTGGGCCAGTCTTAGAGTCTGGGGAAGGCTCAGATGAGGGTCTGCGTCGGAGGCAGAGAGGGAGCCAGAGCCATCTGGGAGTTATGTGCTGCCTCCGGAATCTGACATCAGCGAGGCAGAAGAACAGTGTGAGCCTGATCCCAGCATGCGCAGAGCTGCCAGAAGGCAAGAACAATTAAGAAAAAAAAGGGTGACTCGGGAGTAAGGCTTGGAGATGATTGGCCACTCCCATAAGATATAAAAGAGGAGCAAACAGACGTGAATCTTTTCAGGAAGCAATTAGTTTCTATAATCAATTCAAGCTCTGAGAAGTCTGTTTGACTCTGTGCTCGTTTGGCCTTGCAAAATTAATTGGCAATTAGGTCTCTGGCAGCCTTTCAAGGAAGATAAAGGTGGGTGTTTATCAACATTACCCTGAAAGACTGTGTCAACTCAAGCAGACATCTGTCAGAATCTTCACAGACTGTTTGTGAATCATTACGGGCTGTGAATGACCCTATCACAGCCTTCTCAATAAAAGAGTTTTTTTGGGACTGAGATTGTGATTTATGCTTTCTCAGGAAGCCTAGGTCAGAACAATGACTTCTGAACCAACTGCAGCTGGCTTGTCTTCCTGGCTCCTCTCCCAGCGTGAGTCCCATCACCCGACACCCATCTGCTTGTGTGTGGCAACTCCAAAACGGCACATTGTGGCAACTTTGAATGGCAAGCTGTCTCGGAGGTTGACACTTCATGGACCAAAAAGCCAATTCAGCATATGTCTACTCAGAAATAAGATTCTCTGAGTTCAATACCACCTATTCTTAGAAAACCTTCCTTTCCTTTCCTTTCCTTTCCTTTCCTTCCTTTCCTTTCCTTTCCTTTTTTCCTTTCCTTTCTTCCTTTCCTTTCCTTTCCTTTCTCCTTTCCCTTCTCCTTTCCCTTTCTCTTCCTTCCAACCATTCCTCTGGGTGCTCAAAGTGAGATACCTATTTTCCCCAATTTTTCCAAAGGTAGGATAAGTAGCTCAAAGTCAGCCAATCATTTTCTGTGGCTGAATAACATTAACCAACATTTAACCACTATAGCACATTGGCTGATATACTCCCACTTCCAAAACCTTCAGATGAGTTATAAGAAATATCATAGAAGCACCTAGCACAGGTCTATTGTGTAAAAACAAAGCCAGCATCCCCCTCATTTTGCCATGGCGATTTTTCTCCCTTACATCTAACTGGCGAATGTTCTGTACAGCTGACATCTTCAATTACAAAAAGACCATTAAGATAAAATGTCATGGAGAACTCTGAGCAAAAAAAAAAAAAAAACCCACATCAGGAAATGGCATAGAAAATGTGCAGCAGAATTCCAAATCAGCACTGATGTATGAAAATACTTCCAGTAGCAGCCAGTCTAATTAACCCAAAGTCTTCAGTGTAGTTGTTACAGGTCAGTTGTTGATTAAATCCATTTCAATACAGCATTGATCCATGGCAAATTCACTGTAGAACAGTCCACTGCCAAAATCTGTAACCAGATAAATAAAAATTCCCCCCAGGCTTCAGCGATGAATTTGAACAATGTGCTAAATATCTAGAGAGGGTGGCAAATTAGAAGTTAAAGCAAATGGGAGAAATGCTTTTAAAAGGTCTGGAAATAAGCCTACAAAATCAAGTAAATGTATCGTCCAGGTAGAGTGATGCCCATTAGTAGTTACGGGGCAAGTCAGAAATTCAGCCAAGCCAACTGAGGACAGGTGCCTGCGGTTTTAGCCACTGTACAGAAGGAAAAACAAATGTGAAAGGTATGACTTCTTTTGGTCCTAAGCCTTTTCATGCCTCTTTTACAGAACCAGGAATAGTGCTGGACAACTATCACTTTCATATCTGATCTTGGAAGTTATTTGGATGTTAAAACTTGCAAGTAAACTACGCATGGCAGTAATACTGACGCTCTTTTTGAACAGTTGAGAATTTTAGCAAAGACAACCCTGTACTAGGGCGGTGTGGTAATTAAGATGTTGGGGTTGTCAGCTGGAACGCTGGCGGACCATGTTTGAGATCCAAGCTCCACGCGACGGGGTGAGCTCCCACTGTCTCTCCAGCTCCTGCCCACCTAGCAGTTTGAAAGCATACAAATGCGAGTAGATAAATAGGTACCACTTCAGTAGGAAGGTAAGGCGTTCCATGATGTCATGCTGGCCACATGAGCAAATGGCCTTGAAACAGAGATGAGCACCACCCTCTAAAGTCGGCAACGACTAGTGAAGTAAAATCTGCAGGGACTCCTTTACCTTTTTACTTCCCAATCCTGTACTAATATTAGTAACTGACACTTCATTTGCATTTAAGATGGGGTTTTGGAGAAGGGAAGTAAAGCTTTTGGTGCTAATAGAAGTCAACAGAAAAGGTCAGAAATGGTTGGGAATTCTGGTTATTATATGCATAGGGAGGGCAGAGGGTTAGAAAAGATAGCAGTTCTGGCTTTCCTCAAGTGGGAAGCAAAGCAACTTGGTTCCTAGGAAAAGAATGCTTTCGCATACTTAGAATAGAACCACAGAAGTTCTATCACAATTTCTGAATTGCGACTAGTGCCTAAGATTTTGCTGAACAAGACTTAGAAATTCTGTACATGTTTATCTTGAATTTTCACTGAATGCAGGGGGACAATTTCAAAGCAAGCAGGCATCTGATTATGTTAAAAAAAAAACAAATCACCAGAAAATGTATGCGTGGTTAAAAGTCTCTTTTACGCACAAAGCAAAAATTGTTTTGAATGCAGTCAAGTATCAGCGCCAACATTTGCTCTAAATTTTCAGACAGACGAAAGAGACATCACTCCATTTTTCTTACGTTTGGCAAGACGAAGGATATTTCATACACCCAAGGCATAATGTAAAAACCTATTCCGGGGATTACTCAGCCAAATCTTGTGATCAAAATGCAGACTGGAGGGCAGGAACATTGAGATGAAGACACAGGCTCCATTTTTAAGCATTGCCAGAGGATACTACAGAATAGGTATAGGTTTCAGCATGGAGCGCAGTTGAGAAAAGCATCAAAATTTTGCTCCCTCCATTTTTTTTGTACTTTTGCCAGAAATTCCTGCAGAGCACATTTCATCTACCAACACTAAGTTGCAACATTTCTCTCTCTCTCTCTCTCTCTCTCTCTCTCTCTCTCTCTCTCTCTCTCTCTCCCCCCCCCCCCCCCTCCCCCCCCCCTCTCCCCCCCCCTCCCCCCCCCTTCCCCCCCCCCTCTCTCTGTGCAGGTATTGCCTCTAGAGTTGAATCCTGGGCCTGAAGCTATAAAATTCCATCAACTTTTAATCAAAGGGTGACAGTACATTTGCCTGCAGTTTCATTTGGATGGATCTGAACATCAATTCCAATTTCTAAAAAAAATTGAGCTAGCCCACACTGTAATGTTTCAGCACTTTTATGGATTTGGTACATCATCCTCCCAAGTTCTACCTGTCTGTATATAAGAATGTGTCATAAAAGGGACAAACCACATTATAGAAATATATCACTTGTCTGATCTCTGGACCATTATCTAGATCAGTCTTTTTCAACCTTAGCAACTTTAAAATGTATGGATTACATGCTGACAGGGAATTCTGGGCGCCGAAGCCCATCCATCTTAAAGTTGCCAAGACTGAAAAATGTTGATTTAGACAGATTAGGTACCCTCCATATATGTGGAACTCGAACTCCCATTATCAGCAATCTGTGCAACCAATGGCTCTTATAACCCAAGACATCTGGAAGGTATGAGGCTGTTTTTTTGGGGGGGAAACTACTATCTCAAGAATTCAAAACTGTTTACTCTCACTACGAAGTCCACTACTGTTTGTTTTTTTATTACATTTCATCTTGCTAAGAAGAGAGAATGAACCTGAGCTCAGAGGTGTTCATGAGGGAAGTAATAAATTATTGGCTTTTTAATTATTTTTATATATGCCATATTTCATTTTGCAGGCCGACTTAAGTAGTTTAAGACTGCCACTGAGGCTCTCGGCTTGCTTTTTGCCAATTT